TGATGATGATGATGATGATGATGATGATGATGATGATGATGATGATGATGATGATGATGATGATGATGATGGAGATGATGGAGGAGGAGGAGGAGGAGAAGGAGGAGGAGCAGGAGGAGGAGGAGGAGGAGGAGCAACTGGGTCGTTCTGTTGACGGCCATGAGCCCCCAAACCAGCAACCGCAGGCCCGAACGTGGTCGGGTGTGGATGGGACAGGCATCAGTCTTAGAGGAGGAACATGTACCCATACCTCTACCCTTCCCTCTTTTTCCCGTTTTTTGGCCTCCTGGAATGCCCTCGTCGCCACCATTAGATTCGCCTCGATATCCTGGACAGAACGTACCCCAGGAAAGCTCTGGGGAGTAGCGGTATCGGTACGGTTGTGCTTCCCCACAATCGTTCCAGTGAGAGTTCCAGAATGCTCTCGGATCGTTTCTGGATGCTCTGAGAAGGCCGCGCCGCCCGATGCATCCCCCACCACCGCCAGTTCGCAGAGATCCCCGATGTATCCCAGTCTGATTCTGTCCCTGTCCTGGGTTCGCCTTGTTCGGTAGCAAATCAGGGGAGCCTTGTGAACCCTTCGTGATTCCGTCCTTAGAGTGCCAAAGCGTCGATTGGTGTCTGGTGGTCGATGAGATTGCGCCGATGCAACGTCGATCAGCGTCGGTCAGCATCGATCAGTATCGACTAGTGTCGATCCAGCGTCGACTCGCGTCGAGTAGTCTGCGAAGTCAGTCGCGCTTCGCGCTTCGCGGTCCGGGCGATGTCAGAGCGCTTCGCGAGTCCCTCCTCCTGTTCCATGGGTGGCCGGGGGGGAGGCGGCGGCGCGAAGGCGCGAAGACCATCGCGCTTCGCGCTCCGCGGAGCGAAGATCGTTGCCCCAGCGAGCTGCCGCAGAGGAGGAGGAGGAGTAGGAGGACGAGGACGAGGAGGAGGAGGAGGAGGAGGAGGAGGAGGAGGCGGAGGAGCGGGAGAAGGCCGAGGAGGAGGAGGAGGACGAGGGGGAGGAGGAGGAGGAGGAGGAGGAGGAGGAGGAGGAGAGATGGAGGAGGAGGAGGAGTAGGAGGAGGAGGAGGAGTAGGAGGAGGAGGAGGAGGAGGCTTGCCTGGAGCGCGCGGGCTCCTCCTCGCGGGCGCCGGAGGCCTGGGCCTCGCCTCTCTCCTCCCCCCTCCGCGGCTGCCAGGCGGCGGGCCTCCTCGGCTCGCGGGCCTGGGCGGGGCTGCCCCGGAGGAGGAGGAGGCAGAGGAAGGAAGAGGAGGGAGGGAGGGAGTGAGTGTGTGGGTGAGCGGGCGAGCGAGCGAGAGGGGAGGAGGAGGAGGAGGAGGAGGCGAGGAGAGAGGCGTAGAGAGGAGGAGGAGGAGGCCGTCAGGAGGAGGAGGAACAGAGCAGGAGGAGGAGGAGGAGGAGGAGGAGGAGGAGGAGGAGGAGGAGGGGAGGAGGAGGAGGAGGAGGAAGAAGGAGGAGGCGGGGAACGATGTTGATGATGACGATGCTGATGATGATGTTGATGATGATGATGATGATGATGATGAGGACGGTGGTGGTGGTGATGATGATGCTGGTGATGGTGGTGATGATGATACGGATCATGTGGTGGTGGTGATGAAGATGCTGATGCTGATGATGATGATGATGACGATGATGATGATGATGATGATGATTATGACGCTGATGCTGATGCTGATGATGATGGCGATGATGATGATGATGATGATGATGCTGATGATGATGATGATGATGATGCTGATGGCGATGATGATGATTATGATGCTGATGCTGATCATGATGATGATAATAATAGTGATGATGACGATTACGATGATGCTGATTTTGATGATGATGTTGATGAATGTGATGCTGATACTGATGATGCTGGTGATGTTGCTGATGATACTGATTATCGTGCTGATGGTGGTGATGCTGATGATGATTCGGATGATGATGTTGATTAGGATGAGGCGTTGGGTGGTTGAAATGACGATGATTGTGATGATGACGATTGCGATTCTGATGATGACGACGACGATGATGATGATGCTGATGATGATGATGATGATGAGGAGGAGGAGGAGGAGGAGGAGGAGGAGGAGGGGGAGGAGCGCCTGGACCTCGCACACGTGCTGGGGCCGGGCCACGCGCTTCCACACGAACATGGCACAGCCCGCGCTCTTGTTCGGTTGTCGGCCTGGGGCCCACCCGAACGAAAACAAATGTTGCTTACAGTGTGTACCCATGCCAAGAAACACCCTGCTTGCCTCCAATGTGCCGTGGGTTTCTTCGGTTTGGACGGTTTTGCTACGGACAGCGTGACGTCCCGACACAACAAATCAATTGACGCCCTGGGATTCCAGGGTTGGGTTTCTTGTGGAAGGTTTCTTGTGGTCGAGCTCCTACTGTAGTTTTCTGGGTCATCACAGGCTGCCGTAGTCTCTCGCGGAATGTCGTGGCTGGGCGACCACGTCTGCGAACCTCAGGGTGTGGCTGATGTGTTCCGCTCGCCACGCTTCCGCGATATGCAGTGGTTTGAATAATACAATATTCAGCATCTGGATCCACACCTGGAGTCGACATGCAACGAATTAGTACACCTCGAGTGTGTTTGTGTGTGTGTTTGTGTGTGTGAGTGTCGAGAGAAATCGAATCGAGCCCCTCCCTGGCTCGTGTAGTGGTACAGAGAATCTCTATGTACTGTGCCCTGCCCGTGCTGTCACGGTGGCCTGGGCGCAGGGGCTGAGGAGGAGGAGGAGGAGAACGGATGAGGAGGAGAACAGATGAGAAGGAGGACTCTGAGGATGAGAAGCGATGCTGCTGCTGATTATGATGGCTGAGGGATGATGCTGAACTCTTATTATTATGCTGCTGATGTTGATGCTTGTGTGATTGCTGTTGGTGATGATGGTGATGATGGTGAGCTGATTGATGATGATGGTAATGATAAAGGTGATGTTGATGGTGGTGATGGTACGGTTTATTAGTATGCCGAGCTGGATTTTGATACTGATGCTGTTGCTGTTGATGATGCAGGTGACGAGGAGGTGTCTGATGATGGAGCTGATGTTGATGATGACGTTGCCGGTGATGCTGCATGATGCTGCTGATGAGGATGAGGAGGAGGAGGAGGAGGAGGAGGAGGAGGAGGAGGAGGAGGAAGAGCCCTCCGCAGGTGAACCCGATGATCACCTGCATTGCCGTGGGATACACCGCGTGCGCGGCGTGGGCCATGCTTGCGGGCACGACCTTCATGCGGGCGCCAGGGCGGGAGGGAGGGAGGATAGAATGGGGAGGGACTGAAGATAAGGAGGAGGAGGATGCGGTTGATGATAGTGATGATGATGAGGATGATGATGATGCTGATGATGATGGTGATCATGATGATGATGATGATGATGATGATGATGATGATGATGATGATGATGATGATGATGATGATGATGATGATGATCATGATGAGCATTATGACAACTATGTTGATGCTGATGATGTTGATACGGATGGTATTGGTGATAATGGGGGTGTTGAGGAGGGATGTGTTGACGAATGGATGGATGTATTGATGGATGGATGGTGGTGATGATGATGGTGATGGCAATGATGATGATGGTGATGGTGATTATGATGAGGATTATGATGCTGATGATGAGGTTGACGATGACTGTGGTGATGACGATGACGACGACGATGCTGATCATGATGCTGTTCATGCTGATGATGACAATGTTGATGAGATGATGCTGATGCTGATGCTCATGGTGATGATGTTGATGCTGATGCTGATGCTGATGGCGATGATGATGCTGATGGTGATGATGATGCTGATGGTGACGATGATGAAGGGGATGATGATGATGATGCTGATGATGATGATGATGATGATGATGATGATGATGATGGTAATGATGATGACGACAATAATGAGGATGCGGATGCTGGTACTGCTGATGATGCTGGTGATGCTGATATGATGATGATGATGATGATGCTGATGGAAATGATGATGACAATGGTGATGGTGATGATGCTGCTGATGATGCTGATGATGATGATGATGATGCTGATGATGATGGTAGTAATGCTGACGATCTTGACGTTGATTCGGATAAGGCTGTGGACGAGGATGAGGATGATGAGGGGCGGAGAGGGATGAGGGAGCGAGGGAGGGAGGGAGGAAGGGGACAAGCCAAGGGTGCAGGCGCCATATCTCACGTCCTACCCTTTCCTCCCATCCCTTACCGTTGCATCGATCTCCTCTCTATTCGCACAGTCGGATGTCGAACAGGGCAATGATCTGGAGAGATGATGCGATGCATGGTGTAGCACGGCGTGGCATGAATGGAAGAGCATGGCCACAGCCGGGGGACGGGGAGGAGAAGTCTGATGATGATAAGGAGGATGCAGGAGGAGGAGGGTGGAGGAGGAGGTGGAGGAGGAGGAGGAGGAGGAGGAGGAGGAGGAGGAGGAGGAGGAGGAGGAGGAGGAGGAGGGTGGAGGAGGAGAGGAGGGAGGAGGAGGAGGAGGAGGGAGGAGGAGGAGGAGGAGGAGGAGGAGGAGGGTGGAGGAGGGCGGAGACGGGTGGAGGAGGAGGAGGAGGAGGAGGAGGAGGAGGAGGAGGATGCAGGAGGAGGAGGGTGGAGGATTGCGCAGGACGAGGAGGACGACGAGGAGGAGGGGGCGCACGCCCCGCCGCGCCCTCCCCCGTGAGCTTCGAGCCTGCGCCCGCGGCCAGGTGCTCGAGACGTTCAAGGGGCCCGCTGGCGCCGGCGGCATGGTCCGCACCGCCCGCGCCCGCTGCTGCTCCGTCCCCTGATCCTCCTGCTCCTGCTTCTCCTGCTCCTCCTGCTCCTCCTCCTTCTCGTCGTCCTCATTATTATTATTATTCTTATTATTATGGTTTTAAAAGTCTTATTATATTATATTATTATTATTGTTATTATTATAAGTATAGTTATGTGTGTCATAATTCGTATCCTGAAAATTTATTATTATCATCATCAATATTATTCTTATGATCATTATTATTAGTATTATTCTCATTATTCTTATTCTTTTTATTATTGTTCTTGTATTATTATTATGATAATTATTATTATTATGATTCTTATTATCATTATCATTATAATTGTTGTTATTAGTACCATAAGTATAACCATATATAATTATTATTCCCATCATCATCATCATCATCAGCATCATCATCATCATCATCATCATCATCATCATCATCACCATCTCTTCCTCCTCCTGTTTTCCCTTCCTCCTCATTTTCTGCCTGAGACAGTGGGCCAAACAACACTCTGAGAGCCAGTGAAGGCAGCAGGCTCGTCCTGCTTGTACGCTTGTTGGTTCTAGGACGCGGGCGGCGATGAGGACGTGTGACCGTTGACCCTGGCTGGAGGGTGTTTGCAGAATCCTGGGGTGGCCGCTGCCCCACCCCCCCTTTGGCAGGAATCCCTGCCGTGGACCCTAAGCTGTGGTCTTCATTCCATTCCCTCGCGCCTTGTGATCTGGTCTTCTCCTTGTCCCAACTCCTCCTCTTCCTCCACCTCTTCCTCCTCCTCCTTCTCCTCCTCCTCCTCCGCCTCCCCCTCCAGCCCGTGCTGTCTGGACCCAGATGGCCCCAGGCCATGCATATACCACATAGGACCACCGTGACCTCCTATAGGGTGGTGGCTCCTGGAAACTGGGCCAACTGACGAGATTAGGCGCCCCCTCCTCCTCCTCCTCCTCCTCCTCCTCCTCCTCCTCCTCCTCCTCCTCATCATCATCATTAACACCATCATCATCACCATCATCATCATCATCACCATCATCATCAGCAGCATCAGCATCAGCATCAGCATCAGCATCAGCATCAGCATCAGCATCAGCATCAGCATCAGCATCAGCATCAGCATCTGCATCTGCATCAGCATCATCATAGTAATTACCACCACCATTCAGCATCATCAGAATGATATCCATCATCATGAGCATCATCATCATTCTCGCAATCACCATCGCCATCATCAGCATCACCATCATCAACATCATCATCATCATCATCATCACCATCATCATCGTCACCATCATAATCATCATTACCATCTTCATCATCACTATCGTCATCATCATGGTCATCCGGATGACCATTCTCATCCCCATCACCATCATCATCATCGTCATCATGATCATCATAATCGTCATCATCGTCATCGTCATCGTCATCGTCATCGTCATCGTCATCATCATCAGCATCATCACCATCATCATCATCATCATCATCATCATCATCATCATCATCATCATCATCATCATCATCATCACCATCATGGCGAGGCGCTCGGCCAGCTAACCTCTTGTCGGGGCAGCTGTCCGAGCGCCTCGCCATCGCGAAGAGGAAGGAGTGGCCTGAGGCTTCGGAGCTCTGGCGACTGGGAGGTAATCGTGACGTCGACCCTTGCATCACCCAGGCCCAGCGAGTAGTTGAAGAATGCCGCCGTACTCGAAGCCTGCAGCGAACTCGTCGCCGCTCGTGCCCAACAGCACGCAAGCATCTCGGGAGCTGCCGCCGGCCGCAGCTCCACCATCCGCTTCACTGGCCCCGCCGCCCCCCCATGCTGGTAACACGACGCGAAGATCGGGACAACATCGGATCGGGGATGACTCGAAATCTCTGAGAATCGGCGGGTTTGGAGGATGTATTGGGCGCGGTTTGGTGTATTGGGCGCCGCGGCCGCTCCAGAGCGTTCCGGAACGCTCTGAGAGCGATTTATCCCGATCCTAGCCCTGTTTCAGCTGGTGCGCAAGGCCCTGGCCGCGCAGCGCCTCGACGGGGAGTGCACACGGCGCAGTCGCGGTGTGCGAGATGGCCAACCACCTCGCGTCGGGCTTCCCGATGCCGATGGAGTTCATCACGCCAGGGTCGGTCTTCCCTCCGAAAGGCTCCTGGGACGACGACGCTCGCGCCGACGCCCGCCGGCCCGACGAGACGAGGACTCTGAGCACGAAGCACGCCGAGGACAAAACTGGCCGCGGAGTGCTCCGCGCGCTCGATAGTAGGCACACTGGTGCGCGGCACGTTGCACACACACTCAGAGAGGCTTCGTGGACGCTGCAGCGCAAGGTCTTTGGGCATCGGCAGCCGGCGTCCGCCGCGCCCGTCTTGGCCTTCCGGGGACGTCGTGGCCGCCTTCCCCTTGCGAAATTTGGTTGGCGTTCGAGGCCGTCGGCCCGCCCGGCGGTCCTCTCGGGCTGCTCCAGCAGAGCCACGCTTCTCAGCGCCGGATGGATCCCCAGAGTTTCAGTGCGGGGCTCAGGAGGCGGAGAACGAGGAGGAGGAGGAGGAGGAGGAGGAGGGATGCTCCAGCAGATCCACTCTTCTCAGCGCCGGATTGATCCCCAGAGTTTCAGTTCGGGGCTCAAGAGGCGGGGGTCGATGCAAACGGGGGTCAGCCAGGGCGCCAGATCTGACAGGAGCCTGCAGAGCCAGGCGTGAATCGACTTGGGCTCGGGTGCAGGATCCGGCGGGATCCTGCAAGGCCCGACTGACCCAGATCTGGATTGACCTGGGTCAGAAGATCCCCGACTTGTGTATTTTCCCAACGGTGGCAGCCTGCATGGATGCCCTCTCAGCGGCTTCGTTTTCGTCGTGTCCACCCACCCTTTTGTCTTCGACATGCAGCAGATCATCGACGGTCAGGGCGTCACGGTTCCTCGGGTGTGTGCGGACGACGTTGGCGGCGTCTTGAAGACGATCTTAGCCTTGCAGCTCTACCACTTGTGATCTTCTCCCTCAGGGAGAAATTCGCGGGCCTTTTTTTGAAGCTGGAGAAATGCGTCTTGATTCTGATATTCGTGCCGTTCTCGATTGACGTGGCCAGCTCTGTCAAGCAGCTTCTTGAGTCCGCAGTCCCGCAGTTGAAGGACTTCGACGTCCGCGCCGTCGCTCCCTACCAGGGTTTTCGAATTGAACCCAATGCCGACAACGAACTATGGGGCGCCCCCATCAAGAAGTGGCTATCGCGAGCCAACACGATGGCCGACGGACGGGCCGACGGACGTGCCAGCATCACGCTCACGCCGTTCCCGTCTGGGCTAAGTCGCGCAGTTCTGCATCCCGCCCGCCCGCATGCTGAGCCACGAGACCGCACTGGCTAACAGGATGTTGCATCTTCCACCGAATGCCGTCACGGCGAAGGCTGCGGTTTCGGCTGGCACCATCGGAATGGTGGAGGCAACGTCGGCCACGGTTTCTTTCCTTGCCGCGCTCATGCGGTCCGCGGTGGCCACGAACGTGGCCACGAACGACTGGAGCACTTCCTCAGTAGCATGTTATGGGAGCTTCGTATACCCTCTGGATTTTTTCTTAGCGTCGGTTAGCGTCTATTAGCGTCTGGGAGTGGATGAGATAGCGCCGATTTAGCGTCGGTTAGCTTCGATTAGCGTCGATTTAGCGTCGACTAGCGTCGATTCGCAAGAGCCGACAAGATGGTATGGGAGGCTCCCATGAGTTACCACGGAACACTTCCCTGGACTTCATCATCCATTCCGCCCCGCAGGGGACCGCAGCAGTTTGCCACGGATGCGAGTGGTGCTGGACCGGCCGTAGTCCGAGCATTGGCGGTCGCCTGCTATTTTCTGGACACTCCGCCGCATCGCCCGCGGTTGCCCTTCGAGTGCGGCACCGGACTCCAGGACGCCCTTTACGTAGCTGCCCGCGGGGCGGGACTGTCCCCCCAGGAATGCTTGGGGGTCCGGCCACTGGCGAGGGGGGACAGCCCAGACCCCTTCCTCCAGATTGCGGCCCACAAGCCACGCGTCCAGAAGCGCGCATTCGACTCCATCAAGCGCGTCATCATGTGCAACGCCTTCCAGGACCTCCTCGGTGCGCGGCTCATCAAGCACTTCTGCTGATGCGCGGGGCCGTGGAGGCGGTGGACTACGACTCGGTGTTCTCGCTGCTCAGGAGAACCCCTAAAAGGGTTGCGTCTAGAGTGGTTAAAACTTGGACTGGAGGCTGGACGACGAGCTGCAGGATGCACGAGGACTTGATGCACCAATGCCTCTTCGGCTGCCAGGATTGTGATGATTGGCCTCATTATGTGATGTGCCCGCAGATTTGGTGGCTGGTGTTCGACGAGGCCAAACAAGCCTTACTTTGCGGCCGGCTGCCCAGGGTGGGTCTGATAGCACCATCGATTGACGGCTTGACCCCGACGTTCTTGGCTTTTGAGGTCTACTATTGAGTCCAACACTCGTACGTTCATGAGGTTCTTGCCCTCGTACGCGGAGGGCCTCCACACGATGAGCGACTTGATGCACTTATCCAGCTTCTCGCCGATGCTGCTCTTCGACTTCTGCAGTGATCTTGCCGCGGCGCCTGCCGCCGCGCCCTCTGGCTTAATTGCCGTGTCCTGTTCTGTGGGGCACTCGCTCCCCCCCGCCTTTACCAACATCATCATCACCGCCACCATCATCATCACCATCATCATCGTCATCAGGTGATCATCATCATTATCTTCCTCTTTCTCCTCGGCGCCTCCTGTCCTTCATCATCTTCTTCCTCCCTCCGCCCCTCCCTCTTCCACCCCAGCCCTCGCCGCTCCCGGCCCTCACATCCGCTTGCCCGCCAGGCTACCTTCTCTCCCACTCGTCCCAACCCGCCCGCCCGCAGTTCTTGATGCCACTGCTGCAGCCGCTGCTCATTTCCCTGGGCCTGTCGCTTTACGAGCGCCGGAAGGTGCTGGCAGAGGACCCCATTGGGGAGTGGAGGAGGAGGAGGAGGAGGAGGAGGAGGAGGAGGAGGAGGACGAGGAGGACGAGGAGGACGAGGAGGAGAAGGAGGAGGAGGAGGAGGAGGAGGCGGAGGAGGAGGAGGAGGTGGAGGCGGAGGAGGAGGAGGAGGACTCTTTCTTGGACTGTTTTGGTTATGGATCAAGCTCGCACGCCAGAGCAGAGTTGGCCATGCTGCGGGCGCGGCCATGGGAGGAGAAGGAGGAGTAGTAGGAGGAGGAGGACCAGTGTAAAACCACGACTCATCAACGATATTGCAATGAACAGTCCCTCCAAGCTCTCTTTTCATAAGTTCGTATACGGATTCATCTCACAGAGGGAAATGCCCTGGTGGAAGACAACCGTTTAAACATCCAACATTCTGTCATGACGATCCTGATTCGTGCCAGAACTCCAGTCCTTGGACTTCAACACCACGAATCAACGTGGCTGTTGCGCCCTGCCATTCCGACATCGTGCCAAAAGACCATCCCTGTGACGTTAACCATGATAATCGTTGAACTTCTTGCAACCTCTGAAGACGAATGCGCGCGGCGCTAAGGCGAACACAGCATTTTGAACATGAGCCGCCCTCCATCCGTGAAGCTCTTGCAAACTTTTAAAAACGAATGTGCGCGACGTTGAGGCGAAAGCTACAGTTTGAAAAGGAACCGCCCTCCATCCGTGAAGCTCTTGCAAACTTTTGACACGAATTTAAGCGGCGCTACGGCGGGAGCCTCATTTGGAAAGCGGACCGCCCTCCATCCATGAAGCTTTCGCGAACTTGTAAACCGAATGTGCGCGGCGCTGAGGCGAGAGCCGCACTTTGAAAGCGGACCGCCCTCCACCCGTGAAGCCGTTGCTAATTTCAAGCCTCAGGGGCATACACCGAGAAATTCTCAGGCGAATCGCCCTGCCCGCCCTCTCGACTGGCCTCGGGGTGCGACAGGGAGGAGTTACCAAACATATCAGGAGTGTAGGAGGAGGAGGAGGAGGAGAAGGAGGAGGAGGAGAAGGAGGAGGAAGAGGAGGAGGAGGAGGAGGAGGAGGAGGAGGAGGAGGAGGAGGAGGAGGAGGAGGAGGAGGTAGGAGGGAGGAGGAGGAGGAGAGGAGGAGGAGGCGGAGGAGGAGGAGGACGAGGAGGAGGAGGAGGAGGAGGCGGAGGAGGAGGAGGAGGAGGAGGAGGAGGAGGAGGAGGAGGAGGAGGAGGAGGAGGAGTGTGCCGTGCCGTGCCGTGCCGTGCCGTGCCCGCGCACCCTGCCGGGCCGAGGCGCGCTCGGCTTGCCGTGGCACGGACCAGCTGCACCGAGCACGCCCCCGTCGATGTGAGCTCACCGGGTGTGCTCGCGTGCAGCGCTGCCGTCCATCACCACCCACCAAACCACCCCAACCCAACCCGAAGGCTCAGATTTACCCTCGATTTCCAGTGGGGGGGGTGTCGGGAAACATTGAAAAAACACATGTGGAACCCGTACCCCCCCAACCCGAAATTCGGGTCTTCGGGTTGGGTTGGGGTGGTCTGGTAGGTAGGCAGCGCTGCCGTCCGGGGCCTCGCTGCGCGGTGCAAGTCCCTCGGCGTATAACTTACGAGGAATTGTGGTTTTCGTGGGGGCGCGGCTCCGCCGTACTTGACGAGGGGTGCTGGCGTCCGGAGCGCGGATCGGGCGTCATTTGTTATGTGGGGCGTCCAGAACGAGCTGTGCCTTCGAGGATCGAAGGAGTCGTCCTCTCTTCCTCTGCGGAAGGGCGGCGGAAGGCCGGCGGAACGGCGGAAGTAAAACGAGGCTGCCTCCGCCGGCGGAGGCGGGCGGAAGCTGGCGGACGAGCGGCGGAAGGCGGCGGACGTAAACGATCTGCCCCAAGAGGTGAGCACGTTTTTGGGCTCAGGGTTTCCGAAATCGCCCACATTCAGTTCGCGCAGTCCAGAGGTCACGGCCCTGGCGAGGCCTGGGCGCTCGGCCATATAGGTGGTCGTTCGTCCGTGCCGTTCGGTCGTCCGCATCCTCGCCTGCGGTCTCTACGGCTCCGCTGGAGGACTACGCGGTCATCTTGTGCACCACGCTGGGCTCCGCCTTCTTCGGTCTGTTCTTCACCGCCATATTCGCAGGCGCGTGCGCCCCCCGGCGGGTGAAGCAGGGGGGAGGGCAGGCATCCGACGTCCTCATATTTTTGCAGAGTGGCTCCCCAGATGTCCAAGGCCCCTTCCTGGGGCCTGGGGATCGTCTTTTCATCCCGAGTCGTTTCTGGACAGTCCCGAGGCCTGGTGGGGGCCATCACCAGGCGTTATTTGTTGCCATGGCGCGAGGGTGTCGGAGGGGGCAGGAGCTTCCGTGGGAGGTCGAACTTTTGGATCAAACATCGGTGGCGGAATCCGAACCCTACCCTCGCCGATCAACGATGCAGGCAACTCCATGGGCGACGGGGTCAGGGTTTGGAAATCGTCGAACACACGGCGAAATCCGAACCCTACCTTCGCTTCCCATCGATTCAGGAGAATCGATGGTTGGCGGGGGTAGGGCTCGGATGTGGTGACCCAAGGAAGGGTCTGATCAGCATTCGGGTCGTCCGAGTCCTTTGAGGTGATGCCCGTGGTGGCCCGAGTACGGGCCTGACTCTCCGTCGCCATGAGGCGGCACTTCCGCCGCGGATTCGTCCAGTCAGTGCTCGGGTGGCATCAGGGGCCACGACGGGGGGGGAGAGGATCAGGGGGGGACGCATCGACCCTTCATCGCCCATTCATCGCCGAGAGGGGATAGCCCACCCCGCTTAGGACCTTGCGGATTCGCTATCGGGGGCCTATCGCCGATCCGTCGGCGACGTCTCGCCGATTCCAGGTCGATGTTCCCACCCTTGAGCAGGCCCCCCTCTATCGTTGCCCCTCATGCCATGGCTCCTGCCCGCCCGCCCCATACCCCCGACGTCGCGTTGTCTTACAACGTCGGTCCCCAGAGGTCTGGGCCCCTTCCCCAGAATTGCTTTTTCATGCCCAGTCGTTTCTTGACGGTCCCGAGGCCCGGTAATCGGCGTCACCCCAACATGCAAATACTACGTGTGCGTCGCCCCCCCAGGGGCGACGCGCGCACCGAGAAATCTTATATAGTACATGCGTCGTGGCGGGGGCTTTTTGGCCACACCGTTCGGGCGACGATGTACCATAAGATGGGTACAGTCGGGGCGCTGAAGAAGGAACCCTTTTCGTTGGGGAGGGGCTCCTTGCTCCTTGATTGTTTCGCAGTTTGCCTTCGGTTTTCCGCAGGTCCAGGTCTTCGATGGGAAATCGAAATTCGATGTATGGGAAAAACGGGCCTCGTTCCTTTATTAGGGTTCCTCAGGTCAACGCCCCGACTGTATACTACATGTTCGGGCCGGACGCGCGCCTCCGAGGAGGACGTCTGGTACCAACATGTCTCCGTGCGTCCCTGGTAAGAGGTCTGGGGCGCCGCCCCCCTGTCGATATAGGGCAGCCTCCCGGGCACGCCGGCTACCGGCCAGCGTGCTCCAGGCCTCGGACAAGAATAGCGAACACTCATGTCACATTCATCTGCGAACGCCTCCCCCTCCCCCCAACGTTCCGAGCTGGCGGTGGGTCGGATGAGGTGCACCTCGACCGCAGCCTCCCCCCGCGCGTGCCGACTTCGAGTTTGGGGGGCAGGCGGGGTGTTCACTATAGTTGTTTCCCTCTGCCGTCGCGCGCCCTGCGCCCCGCGCCCCGAGGAGAAGCCCACGCGGGGCGCTCGGCAGAGAGGGGGGGGGCCTTCGCCCCCCGCGTGGGCCTATATACAGCTCGCCCTCGGCAGGGGCCGGCGCACGGCCCGGCGGAGGCCGGGGGGGAAGTGGAGCCCACGGGAGGTGGGCAGACCCCCCTCGGAGTCCTGGAGCCCGGGCGAAACTCACGACGCGGAGGCTTTTTCGCTACGTTCGGCCCTCCTGGGCGGAGGCCGGGGGAAGTGGCGCCACGGGAGGCCCCGGACCCCCCCTCGGAGCCCTGGAGCCCGGGCAGCAATCGCGACGGAGGGTCTTTCGCTATATGTGCGGCCTCCTGGGGCCGGCCCGGGCCTCGGGGCCGGCCGAGGACAGCTCGGGAGGAAGAGCCGGTCCCAGGGATTTGGGGCCGAGACCTCTCGGGGCCGACGGCATGGACAAAAATCGTGGCGTCGGGGGTCTGGGACGGTTAGCGACGACCCCGCCGCCAGCGTTCAAGTTTGGACGCCCGAAATGGGTACGGAAAGAATGGGTACAATGCCGAACAGCAGTTCCTGTTCATTTTGAACAGGACTCGCTGTCCGCGCCGCCGCGGCCTGTGTCCATTCGAGACAGAGGGCCGCCCGCCCAACAGCGGCCGCTGTTGGTTTGGGACAACATTCGTTGTTGGGCATTCCACTCATGTTTTCCGTGCCAATTTCGGGCGTCCAAATCAACGTTTGACGCCGCTTGCGACCCAGAATCGGTCGATGCTGAACGATCTGACGAGTCGGGAACGGCCGATCAGTCAAGGTTGAACGATCCACGCGGTGTCAGTCACCAGCGCCAGGGTCGGCACGACACGAACCTGCCGTGTACGATTAGGGCGGGCCTGCTGGCGGGCGGAGGCCGGCGGAAGGCCCGCGGAAGGGAACGTCGATCGAGGAGAGCGTTTTTTGTTTTTTTTGCTTTTTGTTTTCTTGATTATTTGTCTTTTTAAAACAATATTTGTTAAGTTATTTTTCCTCTCAAAATTCTGGGCCATAACGCGCATTATGCCCGTTACCCTCCCCCCAACAACGTAGTGCTCCACCCCACAGTGCGTCCCCGGCCCCGTCTGGCATCACATGGGGGGGGGCGTCACGTTATGCCCGCTCTCCAGACATCCGGCCGCTGCAATTTTTCCGACGCGCGGGTCCCGGAGGTCCAGACCACTTCCCCGAGGCCGGTTTTATCGTCCCGGGTCGTTTTCTGACGCCCCCGAGGCCGGGCGAGGGCCCCCCGGAGGCCGAAAAGCGGCAACATCTCCTCCACCCCCCCGCCTCCTCCTCCTCCTCCTCCTCCTCCTCCTCCTGCTCCTCCTCCTCCTCCTCCTCCTCCTCCTCTTCCTCTCCCTCCTCCTCCCCCTCCTCCTCCCCCTCCTCCCACTCCTCCTCCCCCTCCTCCCCCTCCTCCCCGCCGCTCCAACTTTTGTTTGGGGCGTCGGATCTCTGGGTCCCGTCCCTCCCCCCCCCCCAGAACGCCCGTGAGGGCCGCGGGTGAAAAGGATGCGCTCGCTGAAGAGAGCGACCT